TGTCAGTGATTAATGATTATCTGAAAGTGTGTGTAATTATGTCTTAAGTGAACGAATTCATGGTTATTGTGAATTGTGTTATTATTATTATGACAAAGAAACATTGTCATTAACCAATTTTGTGTTTCTATTTCCAATATATATAATACTTTGACAAGAAATAACGTTGAAACAAATACAATGAATCAGTAGCCCAACGAAACAATTCACAAATGGTAGTCTAGTCTTTGTGTGGTATGTTGTAAAAATCTATTTACTTAAAATACAACTATAATTCACAGTTACAGCTTTCGTGTTTTTAAAACCAGCTTGTACGTTTTACAATCAGTCTGGATTCGCATGGCGGGTGATGCATGTATAGCATGAAATACTTATCCTGTCTACGCACTAGGTCTCGCTTCATTTATGCGATCTTTAAGTTATTTTTTAACTTGGTTTATATGTTCTAAATGGACTTGCGAGATTTGAACTTCGGTAAATTTCTATTGCCTCCTCATTACACGTAAGAAAGATATGTGTGATACCGATTTATTGTTTCGTTTGTTGATAAAGTCTAAGGTTTGATTTTGTCAGTTTTTATGGATTTCCCCTTTTTCAATTTACCTTGAAGTTCGGTATTTTTGTTAATACTTTTGTTCTTGTTGCTGTTTCATGGGTGTATACCTCACATCTACTTTTTCATGGTATATACAATCACCACATGCATTTGATTTATTATCAAACTGTTTTCCCTTATAATTTGCATATTCTGTCAAGTTTTATAGTAAGAGAATATACATGTAATGATCATACAAGTGAAAGGTTTAGCTAGCTATAAACCCAGGTTTGATCCACCATTTTCTACATAAGGAAATGCCTGTACCAAGTGAGGAATATGACAGTTATTTTCCATTCGTTTGATGTGTTTGAGCTTATGGTTTTGCTATTTGTTAAGGGACATTCCAGTATTTTTGTTACTTTACTTTTTATGACGATTATACATATGGTTATTTGTAGTAAGATTCCTAATGACTAGCTATGACTTATAAAAATATTCAAACAGGACTAACACGGATGGCGTCACTAGTTAAACAAGAGCTGTTGATTCTTCCGGGATCATCTGAGTGCATCCCTTGTTTTGTTCAGGTTCTTGATGCTCAGTCTGCTCGAGCTTTAGATGTCTGTGTAGTGTTTTGTTCAGGCTCTTGATGCTCAGTCTGCTCGAGCTTTAGATGTCTGTATAGTGTTTTGTTTAGGCTCTTGATGCTCAGTCTGCTCGAGATTTAGATGTCTGTGTAGTGTTTTGTTCAGTTTCTTGATGCTCAGTCTGCTCGAGCTTTAGATGTCTGTGTAGTGTTTTGTTCAGTTTCTTGATGCTCATTCTGCTCAAGCTTTAGATATCTGTGTAGTGTTTTGTTCAGGCTCTTGATGCTCAGTCTGCTCGAGCTTTAGATGTCTGTGTAGTGTTTTGTTCAGGCTCTTGATGCTCAGTCTGCTCGAGCTTTAGAAGTCTGTGTAGTGTTTTGTTCAGTTTCTTGATGCTCAGTCTGCTCGAGCTTTAGATGTCTGTGTAGTGTTTTGTTCAGGATCTTGATGCTCAGTCTGCTCGGGCTTTAGAAGTCTGTGTAGTTTTTTGTTCGTGTTCTTGATGCTCAGTCTGCTCGAGCTTTAGATGTCTGTGTAGTGTTTTGTTCAGGTTCTTGATGCTCAGTCTGCTCGAGCTTTAGATGTCTGTGTAGTGTTTTGTTCAGGTTCTTGATGCTCAGTCTGCTCGAGCTTTAGATGTCTGTGTAGTGTTTTGTTCAGGTTCTTGATGCTCAGTCTGCTCGAGCTTTAGATGTCTGTGTAGTTTTTTGTGGACGCTTGTTTTTCTTCTGTCTATTTCTTATGTCAATGATGGTGTGTTTTTATAAATTGTTATTTGAGATCCCTCTATGTACTTTCTGTTTGTTTTTATCTTTCTTCCTTTTAGTACAGAGATTTTTATCACATATTTCACATTTCATGTATATTTTGCCGGATAAATAAAGGTTTTATATATTCAGCAGTACAGTGGATTATTTTTTAATTATTTCATTATGATCAGCAAAAATAGTTTGAGATTTCAGAATCTGCAAGCTTTTGTTAATACTTAATCGGCACTTTATATATGTAAAACCGAATTAAATTGAATCCTTTCGCCTGTCTGGTTTCGTTTTGGCTTTTATAGTTGGGGTCATTTCTAACATCTCTTTAGAACTTGCAAAATAAACTGTCAAAGAACAGTTCTGGAACAGTTCTTCCATGGAACAATTCTATCCTAGAACTGTCAGGATAAGTTCAAGGGTAGACCTTTAAGAATCACTTCCAGAGAAGCACTGTCCAAAACCGGTTGACGGTAGAACTGTCAGGATCAGCACGTTTCATTGGATGATACAGTCGAACGTTTGATTTTGTCATGTTTTATTGACTATCCCCTTTTTGAATTTACCTTTGAGTTCGGTATTTTGATAATACTTTTTTTCTAGGTGAACTGTCTAAATCTGTTCTAGGGTAGGACTGTCAGAATCTGTTCTAGGGTAGAACTGTCAGAATTTGTTCTACGGTAGAACAGATCTTAATGACACCAAATTAGAACAGCTCTCTAGTCGTGATTAAGAACAGGGGAAGAATCTTCACTTTAGATAAAAAGGATTAACAAGTACAAATAATTTTAGTCTTGGTTGTATCTTTCAGTTTTATTTTCTCTCTTCTTGTTTAAAAGTATTTTTTAATCAAAAACAGTTGTATTTGTATCTAATAATACTTGAGCAGTAGGGAAATATATTTCTTATACAAATTTCCGTAATTGTTACAGGTAGAGGACAACTTTTGAGTGTTTATTACAGGTAAAATATTTGTATTTCACATCAATATCATTTTCTCGGAGAGTGTTTTGTATGCCCGAGATTTTCTTACATTATACAATATCAGCTTGATACATTGTGGTTAAGTATCTTTATATAATTGTTGGCACACGCTAAGAGTAACAACAAAAAGGAGCGAGACCTGGTTCGTCGGCAGTGTATGCGTCTCTTGCTATATATGTATCACACGCCATTCGAATTCACACATATAAACCGGATACCGGGATCATTCTGTCAGTTTGCTTAAATTGAATTTCATAAGTTTAACTTTTACCGGATATGCATACATTCTTGGAGGACGGATTCACAATAACATACCTGGAATGGTTTTTGAAAGAACAGTACCAATTTTACTGCATCGGAGGCGCATCTGGAAAATAACAGTTTTGTCAGTAATGCTCGAGGCCAAACTATTTAAAAATCCGAAAAAAATATCTCAAGTATAGCCAAATACAAAAAAAGGTATCAGAGCTTTGTAAGAGGAAGATTTATTCCTTATTTTAATATGATATCTAAATTTTATAACGATAAATTTCAATCAAACTTATTTTTATGCCAGTTCGAAAATACTTCTAAATTTGAGTTATACTAACTTTGGATTGGGATAAATTCGTATTGCAATATACAAAATAGTGGTTTTAATTTCATTCTGTATTGTGTTAATTCCGGGAGTTTGAACAATATGACCAGAATATCTATTTATTATTTATCTTATACATATGATGTTTTTGTATTCCAATAAAGATAAATACAAATAATATAATGTCAATTGCATGTCTCGATACAGAATTTTGGGATTGTAACACTTTTTATTGATAATTTCGTGTTAGTGTTAGGTGTTATATATTTGATCGTATGTGTTGATTTTTTACAACTTAATTACTCTCGGGGGCGATAAAGCGCCTGTAAATCATTGTGGGCGCTAGAATATCATGTTCAGCTTATGTTAACATTATAGATTTCTGTGTTTGATAACATTGTCTTATTGAACCTCTTGATCATTAAAACATCTTAATAAGGAGATTTGGGCAGTGTCTATACAAACGTTTACACCTTAGTTTATTGGTCCATCTGACCATAGATGTATGGGTTTATACATCTATGATCTTACACTTCCAATAGGGAAAAGTAAAATAAAAAAAAAAACGAATTCCAAGGAAAATTCAAATCGGAAAGTCCCTTATCAAATGGCAAAATCAAAAGCTCAAACACATCAAACGAATGGAAAACAATTGTCATATTCCTGACTTGGTTCATATTTGATTTGATTTTGATATACACCTATTTTTTACGCCTTGTATATTCTTATTTTGTTCTCAAAATCTATGAAGATATGGTTTTTAAATGACTTAAGTTTAGAATTTGAAATACCATTCATCTCTTGATATGCGATAAATAGCAATTCATGATGATATGATTAAAATATAGCCATTGATTAAAACAAAACACATGGTTTGAATGTCCTTATAAAATGAACATTGATAATTTCTACTTTTTAAAACAATACCAATTCCTTAGTGCGCAAATATTTATAATTTTACTAAAATTAAAACCCATATGAAGAAACAGTCGCGAACTTTACCTGTAATAGACCATTGTCGTATATTTCAGCATAGAAATATTTCAAATAACGAGGCGTTGAGTATACGTGCGTTCCTAGATTTCCATAAACTTAAAAATTTTAAAGTTAGAATGACGTTTGTTTTACAATTTTAACATTTTTTAAAAAAAAATATGGCAAATGCCATTTTATTTTTGTCATACAATTCAATTGCAAACATACGAACTCCATCGATATGAAATGGTCATTTCCTGTTATCCATTAAATTTCATTACTTGAACTCTCCAACTAAGAAATTTAATACTCTGTTAATTAAACTCGAAAACTTTTGTGTTAAAAGCAAATATGTTTATTTGTTTTTGCGTTGTAACTGAAATGTTAGTTTCAAATGGTCACGCGTTGAAGTTAAGTTTATGTACACAAAACAATATCCAGACAAAAATAAGCATTGTTTCATATTTTAAGTGTATATTGAACGATGTCAATTATACATTTTGAAATGTCTGATAAAATCTGAATCGGATTTACGTTTTAATACTCTGTAATTCCTGTCATTGTTTCATTAACTATAGTGACAAGTTAATCAGCACTAACTGAACAGGATCGTCACGATTGGTCGCTTATGCAAATTATTTGCATATGGTAAAGTATATAAAAGTAGACAATATTTCATATCTGTCCTTTCTAAGAACATTTGAGGATTGATAATTGTGTGGTAAGTTCTTATTTTACATTTAAACTATTTTTGAAGCCTTAGAAGCATTTCAGATGGATACCTTACATTTTTTAAACACATGTTTACATGTATCATGATGTTCTTGATACAAATTGCTTAATTGTTTGAATTTTGAATAACAATTTGATAGGAACTTTTATGAGAACAATGGTGCTCATTAATACCTTTCTTTACCTTAACATTATGAAGAGGAAATACTATAAAAGTTAATAAACGGTTTTGTTACCTTTCGTATCACTAGTTATAATTTTATTTATACACTTTTAAATCTTATTTACTTTAGTGGGGCACTTGAGTTCCCTCATGTTTTTATGGCGTTCTTGTTAGTCTTTAATTTTACATGAAGTGTTCTGTTGACCTTTTTTGTCTACTCCTTTTTATTCGTGTGTTTTGCTTTAACTTGTGTTTTATTTTATTGCACCTTGGAATTATTTATTTCCTCAACTTCAGTGCATTTAAAGAAAAAGTATGCTCAAAATAATTGATATTGCATCGGTATGAAACATTTTAATTTCTATTTTGATACTGACAACAGCCTCTCCTAATTCAAGAGAATCCTTATCTAACGAAACTATAACTCATATTTGATCATTTTCGTGATCAATATTTGCAATTTAATTATTTTAATTTTCAACAGGTTAAGGAATACTTCGCATTTTTTGGTAGTCAAAAAGTGGCACTTGGTATACCTCTTCATTTGTCTAACCATTTGTGTTTACAGAATACGATGCTGCTTCTCATTGAGATAACCATTCAAAATAAAGATAGTTTTTTCCCCATATTCTCCGTATTAATTCTGTATCAAATAAAAAAAAGATGATTTTTGTAAGCTGCTGTTCTTATAATATATATAGTAGAGAAGATAGTATAACAGCGTCAAAATGTTTTCTCGATTTACGAATTTTGCAATGAAATTTACAAGATTGTAATCAAAAACAAAGACTGGATAAATTCATTGTTTTATTGAGAATTTAGTTTGTCTAGCATGGAAAGAAAAAGTTTTATTTATTCTAAAAGAGAGGCGAAAGATACCAAAAGAATATTCAAACTCATAAGTCGAAAATAAACTGACAACGGCATGGCTAAAAAAGAAAAAGACCAACAGACTAACAATAGTACACAAAACACAACATAGAAAACTAAAGACTGAGCAACACGAACCCCACCAAAAACTGGAGGTGATCTCAGGTGCTCCGGAAGGGTAAGCGGATCCTGCTCCACATTTGGCACCCATCGTGTTGCTCGTGTTAGTACAAACCCGTTAATAAGTTTAAACGAAGTTTGTCTTTAGAAATATATACATGTATGCTTAATTATCTCTTTATTACAGTCATAACTGCTATACCACCGTCACATTAAGTTCATTATTGTGGTCATTAATTCTCTGCTTCGCTCACAAAAAATTCCTTGCCCGATCACAAATTCTTTAATTCGATCACAAAATCTTTATTTTTGTCACAAAATGCTTAAATCGGTCATAAAAGCATTTAATGCTGTCACAACAGGCGCGGATCCATTATTCAATGTTAGAGGGAAGCTCCTTAGAATTAGGAATACAAGGACTTTATTTTGACACAAAAGGGGGATAGTGCGCCCCGTCTGAATCAACTCCTGTACAAACCATTTATATCCGCTTTACTTTGACAACAAAGTCTCAACAACTGTCACACAAGCTATATGAAAAAATAATGCCATCGTAATAGACCAAGCATTATACAAATAAGATGATGTGGTATGATTGCCAGTGAGATAACTTTCCACCAGAGTTCGTGCAGTGGATACACGTATAAGCAATTATAGATCACCGTACGGACTTCAACAATGAGAAAAACCCATACCGTATAGACTGCTATAAAAGACTCAATATGAAAAATTTGAAACAATTCAATTGAGAAAACTAACGGCATAATTTATAACAAAACAACTTATGAAAAACAAATATGACAGACATGAACCATCGGCAACCATTGAACTACAGCCTCCTAACTTGCTGACAGAATTTTTAATTTTAATGTATACAGAGGGGTAACAAGTATGTTAGCAATTCAGGAACAGCGTCTAGGAGTACAGAACAACTTAACATATAAAACAAGATTAAGGGAACCGATTAATATCGTAACATGTTTTTCTTTCCTTACAAATTTAACTAGTTCTTATGATTATTTTACTTATATTTTCAAACGACAATTTCAAGTCTTCTTGTTTTCTTCCTTCTATATTTTTCCCTTTCTTGGTTTACTTCCATTCCCGTTTGCTTATTTGGTTATTCATGACGATGTTTACCCTACTGGTTGTAATATCGCCCTGAACATGCAACATTCCAACTGACTCCATTTTCGGAAAATGACATCTGTAACAAACATAAACTTTTAGCCACCTCTTTACAAGCAGAACCAAATACAATGAAAGTTCAAACTATGTACTGGCTTCAAAGCTGCACAAAACTCCTTACAAATATAGATTTATTTCGTTTTCAAGCAATTGTTCCACTACTAAACTATCTATTCTACTAACTAGTACACTTGGTACAATCAAAAACCTGGTAATAAATTGTTCAAATAAGGCCTTTAAAAATAGTGGAATTAATTACTTTTGGAGTGTCAAAAATTCGTTTGAAATACTTGATAAATTGCATGCTTATATTGGTGATTTCGAATCTGTTCAAAGTTTTGATTTTTCTACCCTATATACAACTTTACATCATAATCTTATTAAGAAAAAATTCACACACCTCATTAAATGGGCATTTAAAAAGTCAGAATGCGAATATATATGTTCAAACTCTTTTAGGTCATTTTCAGTAACAACAAACAAAAGAACTATGTCAATTGGACCTGCTTTGATACTTTAACTGCCCTTGAATTTTTACTAGATAACATTTTTATTCGCTATGGAGATTCCGTATATCGTCAAGTTATTGGAATTCCCATTGGGACTAACTGTGCACCACTTATTGTGGACCTTTTTCTGTATTGCTATGAGTTACAATTTATTACTAAAATCAGCAAAGACCCATCGAAACAACATCTGATTAAAAAATATAATAACACTTTTAGATATTTAGATGATATATTGGCTCTCAAAAACGACGACTTCAGTATGTACACTAAAAAGATTTATCCTGCCGAACTGACCTTAAATAAAGCTTATACTAACAATGAACATTGCCCTTTCCTGGATCTTGATATATATATATATCTTTAACGGGAAGCTTAATACCAAAATTTATGACAAAAGAGATGATTTTTCATCTCCTATTTTAATTATCCATTTCAAAATGGTGATGTTCCCTTGTCACCATCTTATGGTGTTTATATATCTCAACTTGTTCGACTCGCTCGTGTATGTAACAACGTATTTGATTTTAACGAAAGAAATCTCTGTATTACTGAAAAATTATTTCACCAGGGTTTTCGATATCACAAACTAGTCAAAACATTTACTAAATTTTATCATCGGTACAAGGACATCATTCGTATATATAAATTAACATGCAGACATCTTATACGTTCAGGTATTTCACATCCAATCTTTTATGGCAATATTCTTTACAAAGCACAAAAATGTCGGCATTCACATCAAAAGCTAACCAAACCTTTAAACATACTTATTCGGAAGGGATATAGTTACGATACTGTTGTCAAGTCATTAAGGATTGCATATTTTGGTATTAATATTGATTCACTCATAGGGTCTTTGCATCGGAAATAAACACATTTATTCTAAAGCCAGTTGTTGGCATGATACGGGTTATGTTCTTCTTATATATTTTATGATGGTATTATACTAAACCCCTAACGGGAGGGATTGTACTTGATATTCATATGATGAAGACTTAATCTTTTAATCAGTTTAATTGAGGTCTGGAGCTGGCATGTCAATAACTGCTAGTAGTCCTTTGTTAATTTATGTATCATCGTCATTTTGCTTAGTTTCTTTTGTTACCTATTCTGACATCGGACTCGGACTTCTTTTAAACTGGGTTTTACTGTTCGTATCGCTGTGTGTTTCTTTATTCTACATTGGCTAGAGGTATAGGGGAGGGTAGAGATCTCACAAAACATGTTTAACCCCACCGCATGTTTGCGCCTGTCCCAAGTCAGGAGCCTCTGGCCTTTGTTTATCTTTAAATTTTACGGTAATATTGTACTTAAAGCGCGAAAATCACTATGTGATCCGTGTAAACTCATGGGACCTTTAAACAAACTTATTAGTAAAGGTTATCTTACCAATGTTGTAATTAGATCTTTGAATATAGTTTACATTGGCACTAATATCGATTTTGTCATCAGCAAATTAAAACATAACTAAATTTGTATTCTTTTCAAACGGGATATATAAAAACACACCCACGTTCATTTTAATCTATAAAGAGGTTAACTCCTAACTATCCTACTGCCTGTCGATACATTTATTTTTGGCATTGCACAAGTAATTTCTTCTTTGACTGTCCATGACGTTAAAATACTACATCCCTGGGATGTGTTTTAGTTTATTTTAGTCTCTGATGCATGATTTTTTATTATTAATTGTTTTTGGCTTTTAACTAGCTGTCAGTAAATGCGAGTACTCTCAAATCGTACTTTCTTGTTTATTTGACCTGTTGATACTAATTGTAATGCTTTTTTGTTATTTAATGTTTACTTATTCAGGGTTATATCTGGTCTATATACCAGCTTTGATAAGTGTTTGGTATTACTATAATTTTCCACTTCTTCGTACTATGAACATCAAATTATTTTGTAAAAATATTTCCTTTCTCCATTTGAACTGTACACGTATACCTAACAACAAAATTATTTTCATTTACCTGTGTTTAAAGTAATTGCAAATGGCTGATATTTTTGTTCAAGCATATTGTTTTTCTTAAATTGTTTAACATTTCACAGCGGTATAATATGTTACTTTAATTATTCTTCCCCTAGTTTATTTATTTTGTATTTACATTATATCATAGATCAAATTTATTTGTTCAGTGT